TGTGTAGTCAGAGGATCAGCGGAAAGAGTTTTTTAGCTTTTTTAAAGTTTTTATAAAAAAATTTTCTTCCACTTGTATAAGTTGCATAGCAAGGAATTGTATATACAGATTAACCATCCCATCTACTCATTTATTTTCTAACTTTTCTTCTTTCTCCCTTTAAAATTTTTTCAGTACTAGTGATCTTTTATTAGTTCTCACTTTAGATATAGCAATATGCTCAAAGATGATTAGTATAGTCATATCATTAGCTTTATAGGTTTATAATTATATTTTTAACATATACTATATTGATATTTAAAAACTATATTCAATAAAGTAAAGGTTGAGCTGGTGATTAAAAAAAAAAATCTTTTTTAAAATATTATTAATAAAAAAAAATAAAATAACTATAATTAACTATAAGTAAAATTATTATTTTTTTTTTTCAATCTGCAATCATGTCACTATGGCATGTCTTTATTGAGATATTGAGAGATATCAAAATATTTTATAGACTTTTTTACAAAGCAACTAACTCATTGTTATACATTATTAGTTAAAGGACTATACTATTTAAAAAATATGAGGAGTTTACTAAACTAGTTCAGACTAAATAAAACTAAGTCTAAACTAGATACTCTAAGTTAAATTTAGGAAACAATATTGTGCTTTCCTAGTAGCTTAACATAGTGCCTCTAAGTTAACCAGGGTTATTGCCAATAGTTTGTTACTGTCGATTATTCCAAAAAATGATGAATTGCTAAAGTATGATACTGGAAAAAGAGAAAAAGAAAAATACAATTAAAGTCCTTCAAAAGATTCTTATTCTATTTAACAGTTTCTTTTCAAGAGAGGTTTGGCTGATTGGGATATCCTCTAAGCTTCATAATATTTGAGAAAATTAATTATTCCTGAAAGTAACTTCAAGAAAAATGTTTGAGAAACTTATTCTTTTGCCAATATACAGATTTACTTATTACTAGTGAAGCCAGCATCATATTATGGAAGAGTTTACCTGAATGTGAAAAAGAAATCTTTTCAAGAACTTTGTCTGACTGGAATAGAAACTTGGAGACCTTAGCTTTTGTCCAAGAAAGCTTTTTTATCACTTGAGAAACTTAATGAGAGATGAAAGTCAGATCCATTTACCTACCTATCACTTGTCTTTCAGTATCATAATTGTTTTCTGGAGGTCAAACATATGTAGTTGGAAGGGACACTTTTTTAAAACTTTTTTTCTTACATCATCAATGATGTAATGAAATACATAAATATAAACAATAGAAGCTTGTTTAGATTTCAAAAACTAATGTATTTTATATCAGCCAATCACCTTTGATAAGGATTTATGCTATCCAAAATTCAGGGTCAAACAGAGGTAGGCAAAATTTCTCAGAAAACCATAAAAGTGGAAGTTCTAAGAGGGCAAAACAGTCGAAAAGGGAGAAAATAAGCCTTTTTACTGTAGAAAACCTCTATAAATCTCTCATTTCAAAGATTTGATAAGTTTTCAGATACTTCACAGTTAGTTCTTCTTCCTTTGAAAACTTTCTTGCCATTGGTATCAAAGGTATTACTTGACTTTTCTTGATTACTTGAAGTCAAGTTTTTGAGTGAAGAGGTTTGTAAACAAAAAGGAAGGGGTAGAGATGACTCTTGAAGTCATACTTCAAGTTGTTTTAATGAAAGTATTAAGACTTTATTAGCAAAGAAGTATAAAACTTCTTGCGAACATCTTTTTTGTGTGTGGTCAGAATTTTAGTGGATAGAGTTTAATTTAAATTATGACTTAATAACATACTATTAATAGGTCCTTAAAGTATTTAGCATATAAAATTTTGTAGATTACTTATGTCTTTTTTTGAGAGACAAAATTCATGGCTCTTCACTTTAATATGAACAAATGTCAGGAAATATTATAAATCAATGATTAAAAGTCTAGTTTAAAAAAAAAATTCTTTTTAATATTAAAGAAAGTTATAGCTTATAAAATGGATAACTTTAATAATAGAATAAATTCATTAGTTAAGTAATCAAAAAAAGAAAATTCTTTTTTTTTTTTAACTGCGATTGATATTAGATACAGACTCTTTATTGATAATTAAATTTTAAGCATGACATCAATCATCTTATATACTATATATATATGCAGATTAATAATGATCTATTATAACTTGTCCTAAGTAGACCTACTTGAAATCCCTCAAATGAGAAAGCATGTCTGTTTAGGAGCCAGATAGTTGATAATAGTTATTAATGATGATGTTGGTATAGTTAGTTAATTCTGTTAATAATGGACTATATTACTATATTAACTTATATATTTGTGTCAAATCCTCAAAGATTATTTTTAACTGCCAAATACCTTGATACTTTCACTTGAATCTTGGAGAGGATTTCTATTCCTTTTTTATCATTTGCAACATTGCAGACAAGTTCTGCTTAACAGATTCTTCAGAAAAAAAGAAAATTCTATAATATAATAATATACATTAAATTTAGAAAAGATTTTTTGTATTACAATTTAAAATAACTTATATATTAATATTAAAATGAAAAATTATTTCAAAGGCTAGAATCAAAAAAAAATTAAATTAAATTGAAGCAAACAGAAGAGAATTTAATAGTAATGAAGAAAAAATAAAATTGATATAAATTAAAAAATCTTTTGAAACCAATTCAATTCTTGATATATATTTTATATATCTTTTAAATTCTATAAAAAAAAAAGTTTTTTGTAAACTTAATATACAATAAATTATTTATACTTTAAATACTTAGAAAAAGTAAGTCTAAAATATATCTAATAAAAATTTGCTCAAGATATAAATTTAGGAAAAAACAATAGAACACTTATTTAGATATTCAATAGCTAGTTTTAAAAGATCAAAGATTTAAAAGAAAGAAGATAAAATATTAATAAGATATTTGGTTAAAAAAATAAAAAGATTATAATAAATAATCAGAAAGTTTTTCAAGAAAAAATAAATTAATGATTTAAAGAACTATAATAAGATTAAAGTTTTCACAACTTAATTTGTGAATATTTACACAAATATAAAGTTAAGTTAATTTAAGAATATCTTAAAAATCAGTATAAAATAAAACTAATAATTACAAGTGAAGCCTAAAAAAAAACTTTGCTAATATATATAAAAAAGTTTTAAAAAAATTTAGAATAATTATTACTTCACTATAATTAAATAGAAAAGAACATTAGATATAATATAAAAAAATAAAAAATATATAATATCAAAAAACAAGAGTATTAGTACTATAATAAATTCTAAAAGAGAAAAGACTTCTCTTAACAAGAATTATATAAAGACTTTATATTATAAAAATACTATTTAGTTAAAAGGAATTATTAGAAAATAAGTAATATAGAAAAAAAAATAGTTTAATTTTTAACTTACTGATAAAACTATAGGTGATTTATAATAATGATTTGTAAGTATTGAACTTCATATTAAAGAATAATTTAAATTATAAAAAGAGTAAAATATTATTTCCTAAGTTGTATCTAGAAACAAAATTTTAATAATGGGTGAACTAATATGTAAAAGTCATTTAATTTGTAATTATTTTTATTAATTTACAATAAAAATAAGTTATGCCAGCCTAATTACAAATTAAAGAAAAAAAAATTATATTAATTGGTAAACCTAATCAATAGTGGAATTATGGTAAAATTACTATATATAATAAGATCAACAATTCTATCACATGTATTAATTGAAAGAATAATCGTTGAATATTATTACAGTATATGACTATAAAATAATATATACAGTATATCATGAAAAAATAAAAATAATATTAGTATTAGTAATTGTATTCATATTTATACTACGTAACTTAATGAATTCCTACATATAGCTATAGACAGCATTGATTTTCTAGAAACATGTAAAACTTAATCAAATTATATAATATCAAGTAAAGATTAGTATTTGAAAATATAGTATTTAAAAAGTTTTATTAAAAGTTTATTCAGCCTTATTTTTTTGTATAGAAAGTAACGGATAATTTAATACTTGATCTTTATTTGTGTTTATTTTCGCAATTTAATACAATGGCCCAAGCACATCCAACAATTCAATATGCATGCGTTATACACGAAAAAAATCGAACAAAAATTACACACAGGAATATCGTCAGTAACTGCACAGATTCAGAGATAAAAAAAAGATTTAATTGCCGGCATATTCGTCAACTCGCATTTAGACTTCTTTTCATTATTTGCAAAGTACAGTATTAATTCATTTATCAATATCTAATTTTTGGTTACCTATAAAATGTCTATAATTTCTTAATTTAACAAATCAAGCAAAGAATAATCGATTGATAAAAAATAAAACCGCTTGATACATTCCGCAATAAGTGTTCATACTCTAATTCATTCTGAAAGAATCATCATCATCGTCTTGCATAACATCATCGTCACTCAGATCAACATAAATTGGCCTCTTCGCAGCCGCCGCACGTACTGGACGCGATAGGCGTTGCGCAATGGCCTGGTCGGGAGTAGGTATATCCTCATCCTCATCATCATCATAATCATCAGATGACACGTCAATGGACTTGGGCATGAATATTTTGCGAGAAGTGGAAGCAGTTACTTGAGCATGCTTAGTATTTTGGGTATTTGTAAATACCGCGTGGGCCTTGTCCTCTTCAGACTCTTCGTCGGAAGACAGTGTTTCCCTCTTCGGGGAACGAGTTTCTTCAAATTGTCGGCTCGAAATGGGATTCTTTGCGACATTTTGCTTCGCAGGCGTCGTTGATGAAGGATATTCAATTTCCATGGGCTCGGCGTCAGTTGAATTCCTCCTGGTCGTTTGACGAGAGGCAACCGCGCGAACGCCACGACCGCGACCACGGCCCCGACCACGACCTGTAGTTACAGGTTTAGCCGGAAACTCGATTTTGTCTTCGAGATCGATTACTTCTTTGGGTTTGGTAGTAGGCTTCTTTGAAGCGACCTTCTGGCGAGGATTTCGTTTCTTCGGTTCAAATTCAGAGTCATCATCTTCGGGTTCTTCTATTTCTTCTACGTTAGGTTCAGGTTCGTCTTCGTAGTCATTTTCTGAATCAAAAGATTCGATATCAAAAATATTTAGAACCTTCAACGGTTTCCCTCGAACACGTTTAATAACAGGCTTCTCATCTGGGTCGTCATCAGCAGATCTCTTAGATGAAAGGTCAATCACCTCGACATCACTCGGATCAGTTGACTCCATACTCGGCCCCTCAACAACATTAGTTTCTTTTAATGAAAAGTAATCATCTATCTGTTTTTTACCTTGGGAAACTTTTTTACTGCCTCGAGCAGATCTCGACGATTTTGCTTTACTAACTTCGGCCGCTTTCTGTTTGGGCTTTTCTTCTACCGCTATTTGATTGTTCGCTTTCGATTTACCTCTGTTAGTAACTCTTGCTTGTCTATGACCATTCTTGTTTTCGCCTTTCTTCGGGGCTTCATCCACCATTTTGTTAAATTCACTTTCGACCAGCTATGAATGAAAAATGATACATCTCAATATCATGATGAACACGTTGGTAGGTTTTCTACTTGTTCTGACTAAACATCACTCACTTCCCACTCCTTTAAAAATGCATCAAGATCCGCATTCCAAAGTAGCTTGGGATGAGTCTTGCGAAGATTATAAAGCTCTAAACTCTTTTCATTGTACAATCGTTCGCATTTGTTCGCCTATTTGTACATAAAAAAAAAAAAAAAAAAAATTTTCGGTGAATCAGTAGCCGAAAAGCGTATCGGGTATATAAACATTGAAGTGGTTGTGTTTAAATGACAAATGCCTCCTCCTCACTAAAACTCCATGCAGGCGTCCTCATAAGATAGTCGTAGTCACCAGCATGTCCATCTTCATCCTCGGCCTCATCTTCCTTATTAGGTATTCTGTCAAAGCCTTTAGATTCCAGTAAGGCTACGATGGCAGCTTTCTTTAATCCTTCGAACTCCAGATCGCGACTGATCTTCATTTTGATGAATCGGTTCTTGTTTTGCAGCTTTTTACAATCGAGCTCTAACCTCTTTAACAAATAGTCCTAACCAACAATATAAAATTAGATGTGCACCTAAAACAAAGAATGATACAGCACCATAGGCAATAATATCAGCAATATGCTTACCTTCCGCTTATAATAATACTCCAATCTGAGATGATAGAACTCCTCAAGTATTTCTCCGGGCGAACTATATTTCTTCAGTCGACCCTCTCGATCGAAACAAACCATATTCGAGGTTGTGAGGGTGGAGCTCATTTTTAGTCTTTTCTCCAGATCTTCATCACTCTCCTCAACAATATGATCTTCAAGTATGACTTCAAAATTCGGCCTCCAAAGAGTGCTCACATCATGATAACCCTATTGTTCATAAATAAATTGATAAGCACAGGTACTTATGAAAACGTGACACGCAAAATTTATTAGTTAAAAACAGCATACTTTGATAATTCCTATGGTTTTGTTATCTTCAGGCATCAATTTTTTAAGATCATTCTCGTAGTTTTGAGTCCAGATTTTAATCGGCAATTCGGTGACGTGCACAATATTTTCAATCCCAGTATCCCTCTCGAGTATACCGCAAGTCTTATACCTATCACTGGAAACTTTTTCGATTTTTCCCTACACAGAAGAGATTGAAAACGTTGAAATGAGTATTAATGTTAGTAAACAAATCGTTGAAACCCACGGCTAGCCGTTATCACATACCCTGAAACCACGATACCAAGGATGCATGGGTTCTAATTCTTTCCCATCCATTAATCTTCTTAAATTGGCAACAATCTCGCGGGGGTTAAAATTAGGAATTGAGGTACTCCATCCTGATGCAAATTAATGGAATTAAATATATTATCCGGTGCGTGTTCTTGAAGATACTTTATGAATAAATGTTCACCTGTTCCAATGCCTTCTGAACCGTTGACAAGAACCATGGGGATAATCGGTAAATACCTGTTAATGATAAATTTGTTGAGCTGAATATGTAATGAATGCATCAATTTGAAAAAGTATACCAATTTCTCACCATTCCGGTTCAATATCACTGCCGTCATCATTCAGGTATTTCAGCAAATCATCATCATGAGGGCTAAATATCAAACGCGTCAGTGGATTAAGCCTGGTGTTGATATAACGAGGACTTGCGGAATCTTTTCCGCCCTGACGAGGAAATCAATAAAGGATGTTTGTTTAAGGAAATTCAACTGAAATACATACATACATAGACATATATATGTATATATAACACGCGCAGATTAATGTTACCTGTATGCGCGAACCGAACTGGCCGCTTGGCTCCAAAAGGTTTATGTTATTAGAACCAACAAAATTGTTGGCCATTGTTACAATGGTTGAATGGAGACTAGCCTCTCCATGATGATATGCCGAATGCTCAGAGACATAACCTGCAAGCTGAATAACCTGTAATCAAAATAATAATTATTATTGTTATTATCATTCTTTTATGTATTGTTTCAACGATAATAATGAGGATCATTAGAAGCGCTTACTTTAATCTCTTTTGTGAGATTTCTCTTAAAACAACAGAATAAAACCTTTCGTTGTCCAGGTTTTAACCCATCGAGAACTGATGGAATGGATCGAACATTATCGGCCATGCTGAATAGTATTAGTTCTTGGTTGATGAAATTAGATACTGTGATTTCGCTGACATTGTAGTCAATATAAGTTCCAGGCTTAATAGAATCATCGAAAATAGACATAGAATAAGCAATGAACTCCGATAATTACTAGCCCTCTCAAACACTACAATTTATTTCATT